AAATCTAAAAACAATGATAAAAGTACACATAACCAATGTGAAAATTGCCATTTCTTGTTTGACAAAACAAATAAATTATAATAATCGTAATAAGAAAAATTTAAAATTGGTTATGTTCACTGAATGACGCATTGATAATAGTGGTAATTATTAACATTGAGTAACATGCTTCTGTGTTATAGTGAAAATGATAGAGTCGAAATAGTTGTAAAATATCATAATAATAAAACAAATCCATTATACATCGCTTTAACAGACAGTGATGCACTTGCAATTGATTATTCAGCAACCCAAATAATAATAATAATAATAATTTATACATCTTAATTCATAATAAAAAGATAATTTACTCATAATGTAAAAAACAACAAAAATTAAAAATATACACCAAATAAAACAATAAAATAGCATTGATAGACAAAGAAGTTTGGTTTTTTGTTGTTTGAAAAATTAAAAATATAGTTGTGGTTTACCTTATTCATTTTAAACACTTTTTTTAATAGATTATTAAAATATGTAACTGTATAAATCAACTTGTCAAAAGTCATTAACAAACAATTGGTTAAACAGTCCATATATTTGACAAAAAGTCGGACAATAATATAAAAAATATGTGGATTTTATGTAATGGAGGGAAATTGTTTTTAAAACAATAATATATTTGACACTAAAAACTGTTTTAATGATTGCTTGTTATATTTTAATTCTTTTGATAAACACTCTTCAAAAGATTACTCACAATATGGTAAATACCAAAAGATGATAAAAATATATTATAGACAGAAAAAAAACCAGTCAAAAATCTTGCTACATCGTACTGTTTGAAAAAAATACACAGTTGATATAATGGGTTTTATGAAAAGTTTATATTTTTGATAAAGACTATTGTGTGTACATATATTTTGTGTGTTTTTTTTAATTATCACTGATGTGTTCATGTTACTTTTGCAATTTGTATTTCATTTCAACTCAAAATTAATAATTTTTTTGTTTAATGTATAAAAAACATATTTATTTGTTTTGGAATAAATGTTATTGCATTTTACCATAATTTTTATTTTGCCATATTTTACTTTTTTGTCATAAAATTTTATATTTTTTTTTCACTTTTTTCACATTTTATTTGTTTTTTAGTTCATGATTTGAACTCGTTATTCCATTTTCATTTTACTATAATTGAACTACACTGTATAATATAATTTTTTTCAAAAAAACAAAAACACTGCTCTTTTTAACAGTATTGGTTTGTTGGGGATTAGGTACGTAGGTGAGTAAATGTAAATTAATTATATATTATAATTATAAACATAATATAACAAATTATTTAATAATTTTTTTAATTAAAGCTATTTTTGTATTTATTAATTTTTTCTTAATTAATTTTTAATATATTTCAATTATTGATCTTATCTTATTAATTTCTATTTATAGAACATTAAGGGGTCCTTGTCATGGCTGTATGAAATTAAGGAGCAGACCTTTCCCCACCCTCGCACCGTCTAAATATAGAATTTATTTACTATATTTTATAATTTTTTAATTATAATTATAGTAAATGGGAGTTTTGGATAATATTAGGTCTGGTTCAAAAATTCAAGAAATGCCGAAAATTCACCTCGAGTTAGTGGAAACCGAGTAAGACGGAGCATTGAAAAGAAGGCTCTAAAGACACACTCAAACAGTCTGTTTGTGCACCGTTTCACACACTTTCCAAGTCCTCCCTTGGCGCGGATCCCCCGATCCCCCCTGACCCCCCCGCAAGCGGGGGGAACCACATCCGCGTCCACACAGTACGGACAAGGAA